TTATATGAAGAAGGGGTGCTTGCTCTGCTCGAAACAAACAGAAAATTTCTACTACAATGATGTGTGAAAATCAATATAGTCACAATCAAAATGACAAATCTCTTGGCTTTAGGCATTTGGAAAACAGTTCCAAGTTGATCTAAAATCATGACTTTCCCACCCTGGCCACGGACAACCACCGAGGCAGCAGAGAGCACGTGAACGCCCAGGCTATGCCCCCAGAGAGTCTCAGCTAATTGATCTGCAGTAGGCCTCAAGAAACGTAAACCACGTTCACGGCCACTGAGTCGATTCTTACTCACAGTGACCCAATAGGGCAGAGTAGAACTACCCCGGGGCTTTTCCACGTTGTAAAGCTCTAAAGGAGCAGCAAGCCTCATCTTTCTCCCGTGAAGCGGCTGATGGCTTTGAACTGCTTAGCTTGTGGTTAGAAGCCCACTCACTATGTGTTTGTTGTCCACTATGCCACCATGCCACCAGGACTCCCTGCAGTGAGGGCTCAGGACCCAGCTAATTCTGACACACAGTCAAGGTGGAAAGTCACACACAGGAGAGAGTTTTACAGAAGAAAGGCAAAGAAAACACTGGAATCCTGGGAAGGAATGGAGAGCAATGCACCCATCACACATACGGACGGGGCTTCCAAACGTTTGCAGAAAAAACTCCATGTTTAGTTCCATTTTCTCACTACCTACTTGAAGCTTCCTTTGTTAAAAGAAATGCAGATAAGAACTGGGGTGTGTGTGGACACACCAAAATAACATGTAAACCCTGGATATATGAAAACTTAATTAAATCTATACCAACAAGGGCTTGCCTCATCAATGGGGAAAAACAAATGGTCACTATCTACATCAGTGCTATGGGAGCAATTGTAACAACCTGGACAAAGAGCTGGATCTGGCATATATGTTGTGGGTTAAAGATATAGGGGGGGGGGGGCGCCTAGATATTTGTCTTAATTTTGAAACATGGAAAGCATCTGTAAACGTGACACAAAAGCTCAAAAGAAAAGTGTGTGTGGGGTAGAAATGGTAAGATTATTTCTATGAAAATGAAAAACATCTATTTGGTCAAATCACAGAACTAGCATTTTGCAAGCTACCTGGTCATATTCCTGGCACAACCAGATTTGGCAAATAAAAAAAGGGAGGAGAACTTGGATCCATTTATTAAAAGGTTTATACCTTTAATATATAAAGAATTCTCACAAACCAACAAGACAAAAGTGAGAGGCAATTCTACAGAAAAGTGGACAAAGGTATAAGCTTATGAACTAAAAAAAGTAAGACCCCAAAACCAACAAATTTATGAAAAGACTCATAACAAAAGAACTCCTAATAGAACAAAGAGAATTTTTAGGTACCGGAATGGTAAATAATACAAAAAATGACCATAGCCAGTGTGATCTGGGAATGAATGAATAGGAATTCTTTCACAATTAGCGAGGGTTTAATCTACACACTATTTCTGGAGTGTATGTGGCATTATCTGTGCTTATTCAAAATGTCAATATGCTTTCATTTGGAAATTCACAGCCAAGAATTTATTCAGCGGCTATGTTCAATCCATTACACAAAGGTACATGTACAGGCATGCTCACTGCCAAACTGTTGCCACCCTCAAACACTTGAAACCACCTAAATGTGCAGCCAATAGGCCTTATTCTTTTTTTTTAAATCATGTTATTGGGGGCTCTTATAATTCTTATCGCAATCCATACATGCATCCATTGTGTCAAACACATTTGTACAATTGTTGCCATCATCATTTTCAAAACATTTTCTTTCTACTTGAGCCGTTAGTATCAGCTCATTCCCCACCATTTTTTTCATGTCTTACACCAACCACTGAGTCTCCCTTCACCCACTTCTGTTGTCCGTCCCTCTGGAGGAGGGGGGGGTTACATGTCGATCATTGTGATGGGTTTCCACTTTCTCCCCCAAACCCTCCCCTTACCCTCCTGGTATCGCAACTCTCATTATCAGTCCTGAGGGGTTTATCTGTCCTGGATTCCATGTTGCGAGGACTTGATCTGGACTGGGTTATTTTCTCAATATACAATTGCTCTTTTACATAAAGCTCTTTCTTATACACGCGTGAGTGACTCTGAATTTGTTTCTCTCGTCAACCCAGATTAACACACAGACACAATCCAAAGATTCACCACAGGGGTGGGGGTGGGGTGTGTGTGTGTGTGTCAAAGCAGGTGATACGCAATACTTTGCTCTTCATTGAAAATAGCGAGGAAATTTGTGGACACTGATGTGGGACAGCACCTAAGACGGCATCCTGTTCATGATATGAACGAGCAAAGTGTGTGCGTGTCCTTTTGGTTCTATTTTGTAATTTAAAAGCATGAAATAAATAAATAACTCACTCTATATAGAAGTTGCCTAGTGGTTACGCGTTCAGCTGCTGATCAGACGGTTATCAGTTCAAAATTACAAGCTGCCCCACAGGAGAAAAATGAGACTTTCTGCTCTGATCAAGAGTTACAGTCACAGAAACCCAGAGGGGCGGCTCTACCCCACCCGCAGGCCTTCTGTGAGTCAGAACCAACTGGAGGGCAGTGAGTGAGTGTGTCTGAATTTGGGTGGAGAGGCAGCTGTCTGTCTGTCAGGAGTACTGCTCTTCTTAAAACTTTTTCTTATAGGGAATCTGTCCTGGGGAATCGATTTTTAAATATTTTATTTGGGTGAAAAGACATCCCTGAAAGATAAGGTGTTTCTACAACTTCTCCACTTACAGTTCAGGGGCATGGATCTCCTTCAAGCCAGGCCACTGGAGTGCTAGTGGGATCCACTTGGAGAAGGACAACAAGAAGGGCAGCACAGCAGGCAGCCACAGTTTTCCAGGAAGAGTTAGCTTTGTAAGAGGCTCCTTTTTCCAGATGTCTGGTTAAGATCTTAGTTGCTGGCCCTCCAGTTAGAGTGCAGCAGAAGGAATGACTAAAACTAAACCTGCCTCTTGGTCTTTTCTAGCCTGTCCATCACAATTTGTCTTGTGTCCCAACCCAAAGGGCATGTGAGTCCATCCTTCAAGAAGTCCAGTCCATGTGCCCGTAAGGGGTGCCTACAGAGGATGGAGCTGACTTGAGTGCCATCACAGCACTGGAACCATGTTGTTCTCCACATGTTCACATTGCACAGAAGTCTGACGACGACGACAGGGCTACCCAGGACCGAGGATGCAACCAACGAGCCCCAGAGCGCACATGCCACACCCCAAGACAAAAAGCACAACCACCGCACCGCCACCACACTCCAACAAATAAAGTGTGAGGCCCCTACAAATCGGCAGAGCCTCAGGAGATATGTCAACTGATTAAAATATGGATTAAGAATTTGAGTAAACATCTGTAAAAAATCATGACCTAAGAGATGACTGGAAATTTGAAGATTGGCAGCTCTCCAAGAAACTACTGAAACAGTCTCTTGCACTCCCTCCAGCACACCAGGGACTTACACCCTCAAGTCCATTCTGACTCAGACAACGTCACACAAGGTTTCCAAGGTGACCCATCGTAACTGAAGCAGACAGCCTAGGGTGAGCAGTCCAGCCCTCATCGACAGCACCTCCAGGACTCTTCAGATACAATCTCTATTTTAAAATATCTCTGACTGGTCTGCATTAATTTCTAAGAGCCCCGTATTTTTTGACGATCACTCTACTTATGCAAATAATCAGGAACACACAATGTGTAGAGCCCACAAAAGCAAACCAGGGGAGATGGCTGTCAGGTTTGTGCACACAGAGCCAATCTCAAAAGCCAGGTACAACTGAAGTATCAAAGGAAGCCAGAGGCAAATGGGAGGTGATGTGAATACTTGGAATTGGTCCACTTTACTGAGTTAAAAAAAAACAAAAAAACTCTCTCCTTGGCTAAGTCAGCCCTGGGGCTTGTACCAGTCTTGCGGGGGAGACTATACTCCCGCAATTCTTCCCTGCCCTCTTTTGGGACCTGGTTGGTCTTTCTCTTTGGAATGTGCTATGCCAAAGCCAGGAGGGGTGTGCCAATTGTTGTAGTTCTGAAGCCCCCTGTCACTGAGTGTGTGGCGTCTGTGGTCGCATAGGGACAATCCGGCCTCCTGGCCAGCTCATCCTCACTTGCCAGCTCTCACCTCTCAGCTCCTATTTGTCCTCAGCCTTGCCTCTCCCCCAAAGGCTAGCCCTCCACTCAACACACTAGCTGTTAGGCTCTCACACAGGCCTCAGACCCACCAGGAGGTGTCTTAAACCCCAGCAGTGGGCCTATGAATCCCCAGGGGATGCTGATGCTGCTGGCCTGGCAACCCCACATGGAGAACCACTGCTGGAGGGTTTTCTGCAGACCCAAGGACTGGACTCTGCAATTGGGTCTGGGCTGAGCAGGGATGCTCCGTGCACAGCTTCTTCCTAGAGAGAAAGCACAGCACTGGGCGACTATCAAAGGAAGGGGATATACAACTAGGAACCACAGGAGGACAAATGGCGACCTTGCTCAGCTCCTGCCCAGAGGCTGGAGGCTCAAGTCCACCCAGAGACACCTCAAAGGAAAGGGCTAGCAATCAATCTACTTCCCAAGGATGAGCCATGGGAACCCCATGAAGCACAGAGCTCAACTCTTAACACATGAGCCAAGCGGCCAGGAAAACATTCATGAGGACTTCATTGGTGGGGCAGGGCTGAGTCTTCACCCCCTTTTCCCACTTTGCTAATGCTATGAGCAGCTGATGCCCAAGAGGAGTGTGTGCCTGTGTCCCCCCCACTTCACCCACAGAGAAAATGAACCCCCATGCCTTCCACAGCACAAGCTGCAGCCACACTTCCCTGGTGGCTTCTCTGAGAGGCCTCGTTCTAAGGACATAGGGCAAAGAGGCTCTGGGTGACAGGCCTATCCCTTCCAAGCTGGGAGCACAGAGAGAGCCCACCAGGAGGGGTAGGAACGGCCCTGTGGTCTTTGTCATCATGTGCGAAAGCCAAGCTGGAGAGAAAGTACTCGGCACTGAGCCACTCACCTTGGTCATGCCTCCGGCTTGCGCTGTACTCAGTCCTGCGTGGCTGGCCATCTGGGGGGACACCTGTGTTAGCGTCTCAGCCAGCACACTGCCAGAGGCCCCCTGCATAGCTGGGGAAGGGTAGGGCATCCCAGCGCCTCGTCCTCTGCCCGTAGCCCCGAGGGACCCATTCATGACTTGCGCCTGCCCTGGCTGGGCAGGGTTCATGAGGCTGTGGCCCGAGTTGGTGGTGAGGAGGCCCTGGTGGGTCTGGTTGAAGTTCGCATTCATGCAGATGCCAGGCCCAGCTTGCGCTGTGGCAGGGCTGCTGGTCACCAGTCCCACTTGCTTTTGTGCTTGCGGGTTCAGTGCTTGGGAGGCAGGGGGGGTGGGCCCGGAGCTGGTGGCCACCTGTTTGGGCAGGCTGGAGGCTGAGGAGTCTCCCTGGGTGAGAGGGCTCTTGCCCATGGCACTCAGGCTGGCCATGCTCGCGCTGCTAGGTGGCCCCTGGGCCTGGCCCCCAAGGCCCTGCTGCACAGGACTGCTGGAGCTCACACTTCCGATCCCCGGGGCAAGGCTGGAGCCGCTGCCTCCCCTCAGGAGCTCTGACAGTTGTTTGTGTTTGGAAGCAGCATCTGGAACAAGGCTCCCACTGTTTAAAAGGCCTAATTCTCCTCCGTTGGGGATCAGTTCATCGGGAAGATCATTTTCCAAGTCAAACAATGATCCAAAATCTAGAAATTAAACAGAAATGGAAATGAGACATGAAGCAGTTGTTAACAGCCACCACTCCCCCACCCCCAATGGCACATTAGCATTATCAGAAGCCTCAGGGCCACCTCAGGAGTACCCTCAAAACAGCACAAGCGTCCAGATGAGAAAAGGAAGCAACAAAGAACAGTTTTCAAATTCTGAGAGAATAAGAATTCGGTGGAGCCAAGGAAGACAGCCCTCACTCCCTCACTGCCACGGAGTCGATGCTGACTTAGAGCGACCCTACATGATAGGGTAGGACTGCCCCTGTGGATTTCCGAGACTGTCACTCTTTATGGGAACAGAACCCCTTCTCTTTCTCCCACAGAGAGACTTATGGTTTCAAACTGTTGAACTTGCAGTTAGCAGTCCATCGCACAGCCCACTACACCACTCGGGCTCCTAGGGCAGGCCCTCTGGCCTCTGAAACCGTCACTGAACTGTGCTGGGTGCGGTCAAGTGCAACGACACAAGCAGAAGGGAAACAGAGATAGAGACACAGTCTCAAACTCCCAGGATTCTATAACTTTCCGAGCTTTGGGGAATGAACGTGAATTTAAAAACTGCCCAAGCTGACTGGTCAGATGGTCTGGCGGAACCCCAAGACAGTGGCCCTTAGTGACCCTTTAGCTCTGGAACTCAACTACTCACCCCCAGGGCATAATAGATAGGTCTACAAAGGGAAAGGACACTAGTGGGGTATGTATGCCTTGGAACAATCAACCATTTGAAATCAAGGGGCATCATTCGCCAAAGGACACAGTTCAGCCAGTGGGGGGGGGAGGGGCGGCTGAGGTGGGGAACACAGGGGAAGGTGGAGGGACTGGCTGGGATGAGTGAGCAGAGGCCAAATGGGCGTGAACTGTTGAATGGGAAACTGATGATCCACTCAGCAAACCACCCAATTCACAATGAAAAGTTATTATTATTTTTTTAAATAAAAAAGAACTGCCATGAATGAAGAGAATTGGGTATCTGGTTCAATGAAAAGCAGGTTGGGAAAATTGAAGTAAAGCCTGAGTGTAATTGATTACATACTTAAACACTAAGTTAACAAGAACACTACTGGTCTTAACATAAAACAAAATCAGTGATTTCTCAAGGTGTTGAAGTTGCAGGGACAACTTTTAACAAGATGTAACTATCTCAAAGAGGTTTTGCAAAGAGGATGAGCAGGGAGAAGCACTCCGTGTCTGGGGGTCAAAGGGCGGCCGGCGGGAGTAGATGGTCATTACAGTCAAAGGGAAAATAGTGACCAAGTAAATCCCCTCTCCTCACTTTTTGAAGCGTCCCCTCATGGGGCATCCTTCCAGAGAGGTGTCCCTCTGTCACTTCTACACTCTCAACTCCTAGTACTCCCTCACACTCCACCAACCAAATGAGCACCTTGAAGCAACTTGATTCTGACTCACAGCAACCCCATAGGGCAGGGTAGAACTGCCCCTGAGTGTCTCCCAGGTTGTGAATCTTCCGAAGAGCAACAAGCCTCATCTTTCCCTTCAGGAGCTGCTCGGCGGGTTCTAGCTGCAGACCTGCGGTTAGCTGCCCAATGTGTAGCCCACTAAGTCACCAGGGCTCCTTCCATGTGTGCCAAAGACCCAAAACACAAACACAGCCAGTGCTGTCAAGTCCCACAAGACAAAGTAGAATTGCCTCTAGAGGTTTCTGAGGCTTCGATTTTACTGCAGCAGATGGTCTCATCTTTCTCCCCAAAAGCAGTGGGTGGCTTCGAACCACAGACCTTTGGCTAGCAGCCCACTGTGCCACCTCGGTTCCTTCCCAGTAATAAGAAGCCTTAATAAATTGCTGAGCAACATTACAAAATATTACACATCTACTAAGATAATAGACCACAAGCCATGTAGAGATGCGGTAAGATGTAAAAAAGCAGACAAATTAAAACACATGTGCAAAATGGCCCAGAGAATAAGATCAGGACTAATTACAAACACAGTTCACATATCAAAACCCAAGTGGGATGAAACTCAACATCCAGGAGAGAGACCAGGCGTCATGACTGATGGGAGAAAAGGCAGTGAAGCCAGAGACCGGCTCGCCCTTCAGGTCTGGAACTGATTTCACCCCGGGACTCAAATTTTGGCCAACAACAGACAAATCAGTCTAGAGAACAGCAACACCAGAGAGGGGCGCCCACCTTACAGCAATCAGGAGAGATCAAAGGGACTGCACTGACTCAAGGACAAAGTTCAGAGGGTGAGGAAAGGAGGAGGAATCAAAAAGGGAAACACAGGGAGGAAGTGGGATAAATGATATTGTATTGTGGAAATTCCAATCATTGGGATGAAACAAATTATTTATGAGTGGTTGAAGGAAGACTGAAATGCTCTATAAATCTGCACTTAGTTAACAAAATAATAGTAATAATAATAATAAATTAATTAGATCCTAGAGGAGGAAGATTAAAACAATACAGCTAGATAAAGTAAAAACAAAGGAAACCAAAACCCAACCTCACTGCTGTGGGTTCAATTGTGACTCCGAGATGGCACAGACACAGAAGTGTCCCCGCAAGACTTTCCTTAGGGATGTACATCTTTTCATAGGCAGACTGCCTCATCCGTCTCCCATGGAACAAAAGATGGAGTTGAACTGCCAGCCTCTCAGCCAGCAAGTAGTCCAATGCTTAACACATGGTGGCACCACAGCTCCTTTTATGCCTCCTCTCTTGTCAAGGACCACCTGAGCGCCACACTCCAGATGGGGCACATTGGCTAATTGGGGTTTGAGGTGGAGGCCGCCAACTCAGCTTCCTTTCAGGTGTTAGAGAGCCCTAGGTTAGGGACACCCATAGAGCTGAGCTCAGACCTATCCCACCCTGGAGCCTCGCTCCTCTCAGGCTTCTTGTTCTGAGATAGCCCTCATCCTCCAAGTTCGCCACTTTGGCTGGAATTCAGCATAACTTGCCATGGGAAGCATCCTGCCCAAGGGAGACATCCCCTCCCCTCCCCTCCCCTCAGTGCAGCATCCCAGCCCACTCAGCACACAGCCCCTACCCCCCTTCCTCTCACCTGCCTCCCACCCTGATATGCAGCTGACACCTCCAGCACAATCTCTACCACCTCTGTGTGTGTGTGTGTGTGTGTGTGTGTGTGTGTGTGTGTGTAAAACCCACTGGCAACCTCCAACCCAACCAAGTGACAGTCTTGAATAGCTGCAGGTATGTCTGAGGCCACCCCTGCAAAACTGAGCACCCAAAGTTCTGTCACCTGGAAACCATAGGCTCTGCCAGAGCCAAGATACTGCTGGCCATGTGCACCTAGCCACACACCCACACCCACTCAGTTTGCCTTGATGGACAGCTGTGAAGTGTCAGACACTGCCCATGAAAAGTCCACCCTCCAAAAGGGCAGGGCATTCTGAGGGTCTGGCACCCCACCTCAGCCTCCAGATCATGTGCAAACGACAGGGACACAGACCAGATATTCTCACACAAAGGCCCTCCTGGCATTCCCCACTGGCACAAACTCGCTTAGAACATTCAAGTACCAGGAGCCCTGGGGACACGATGGTTGAAGGGTTGGGCTGTGACCCAGAAGGTTGGGTGTTCGGGCCCACCAGCTTCTACTCGGGAAATGAGCACAGCAGTTGGTTTTTGGTTTCTGCATCTTTGTGCAGAAAAAGCAAACTACTGTATTTACTCGTGTATAAGTCGAGTTTTCCAGCACATTTTTAAAGCAGTTGTTGTGGTAAAATTAGGTGCCTCGGCTTATATTTGGGTTGGCTTATACTCGAGTATATATGGTATGTCTAACCCAGAGGGCAGCCTGTGGTGACAGAAAACAGGTTCCCTGCTTGGGTGCTTGGGTACCGGCGCACCCCTGAGCACCATATGGCTCCCCAATATGATACAGAGTGGCTCTTGCAGGCCAGCACACTCACAGAGCGGCACAGGGAGCCCTGAGACCAGTGCTGACAATGCTGGAGGCTGGCGATCACTCTACCTGCACACCTGCATCATGCAGCACGGGGACGATGACACACATATGAGCATCTCACTATGAAAAGAACAACGTTTCACTCCAAAGTGATTATAATTCTAAAATGTCACCTGTATGGCCACTCTCAAGGGTTTCTAGTTCTCATCCGGATGTGCACAGCCCACCCTGGCAGTAACTGCAGTGTCTACACTGTGTCTGTGTGTTCCAACCTGAGGCAGTCCCTGGGCACGATGGTGGGGCAAGAGAAGGCTGACTAGATCCCAATGACATCACCCCATCCTGACAAGCAAGCAAACCAGACATGAACTATGCACACCCCCACATAGAGGGCACGGCACTCCGCAGAGGTGAGCTGGTCAGATGGGGCTGGCAGAAGGCACTTGCAGACCCACAGCCCAGCCCCCCTGCACCAGCGCCTGTCATCACTGCTCCCACCAGCAAGTCCAGAAACCCCACCAGGGGAAGTGGAGGCAGGACATTGCAATAGCGCACCCACGCTTTCTCCACATAAAAGTGTCCCAACATCCTCGGGGTTGAGCAATGGCAACCCAAGTCACCAGCTGTGTCCAATCCCAGGGTGTCCCTCCCAGCTGAGGCCCCTCATGGGCACATCTGCCATTCTGTCCCACCCAAAGTGGCAAGCAGACAAGTGTGTGTGGGTGTGCATGCACGCACATGGACACACACAAGGTGGGCACCAAGGCTAAGCCCTTGCAGCTAGGCCCCCTTCCCTGCCCTGTGCTCTAAAGAGGAGACATCCCCATCTCCTGTGGCTCCCACTGTCCCACATCCAGGCTAGGGACGGGGACCTATTCTGCTTTGGGACCTCCTGGCAGCCAATGCTGAGTTTCTCCAAGAGAAAAGAAGAGAAGGTGATCTTCTTGAGGAAGCCCGCAGACACTGGCCCACCCAGGACATTGGGGAAAGTAGCCAGTACCCTGACCAAGCCACAGAGGCAGCAGGCTCCCAGGACCCTCCGGCCAGCATATATCAACCAGGGGGCCAACTCTGCCTGAGCTCGGTCTCAAATGCACCTGCGAAACCAATAACATTCCAAAGCCATCTTCTCTCCTCAGGTTTTCAACAGCTTCCTCTTTGTGTCAGAACACTGCTTCCCCCCAGTAGAAATGCATGTGGTGCCCCAAATGCTGGTTTTCCAAATGCCTCTGTATTGATGGAATTGATTTTTTCCTGTCAAAACACACACAAACTGCTTTATCATTTATTGGCATACAAGCACTTATCTGCAATCAGCGTAATGAGGGCACTCTAGGCTACCCTCTCTGCCTCTCATGTACCTGCTGCCCACCTTCCACCCTGCACCCAGCATGCACAAAGCCCCAGGTAAGGCTCCTGGGCTGAAGAAATGGCAGAGAACTGCCCCTCGAGGTGATATAAGTAGCAACTCTCACAGTTACTTGTCTGGTCAAAGATACAAAGTATTACTTCTCCCCGTTCTTAAAACAGAAACAAGGAGAACAACACTCAGTAATGCTTCTCTGGAAATGTTACATTGTCCTCCGCCTCTCTTTCTTACCCCTTCTGTCCTGCTGCCTTTCACTTTCTTCCACTTACAGGGCCCTGCTAAGAGAACAGGACACAACCTGTGTGTCAGAGACCTTCATAAACGAGACTAGGGCTTGGGCACAGCTGTGCGGTCGGCTCAGAGTTCTGGAATTCCAAGGCCAGAACCCTCTCCCCACGGTGGGTAGTTTCTCTTTCCTACCGATTTGCTGCTGTTAGTGCTTCTCCCAGATGTTTTCCTACTTCTTTAGATTTCTGTATGGCATTACTGGACTGTCGCACTGATGGCTCCAATGCTTCTCCTAAGTCTTTCAAGAGATAACGTGTACCCACTGCCACTGGTTCCATTCTGACTCATCAGGATCCTACATATATAGGGTTGCTGAGACTATGTGAAGTAGCTGAAGGTGTACTGGTGGTGTACTGGTTATGCGCACTGGGCTGTGATCTACATGGTCAGCAGTTCGAAACCACCAGCAGTTCTATAGGAGAAAGACTGGGCTTTCTAGTCCTGTAAACAGTTAACGTCTCAGAAACCCACAGGAGGTCATTAAGAGTCAGTAATGACTTGACGGCAGTGAGTTTGGTTTTTTGGGGGGCTCTACAGAGCGTTATGAGAGCAAACAACCTCAGCTTTCTCCTAAGGAGAAAGGCTGGTGGTTTCAACGCTTAGCCCAGTGTTACCTTTATTCATCCACTCTGGAAGAACTCACAAAAAGGCCTTTCAAGTCTCAGCTCAAAACTGGGTA